ATATATATATATATATATATATATAAAGGGCCGGGCGAGGTGGCTCATGCCTGTAATCCTTCCACCTTGGGAGGCCAAGGTGGGCGGATCACTTGAGGTCAGAAGTTTGAGACCAGCCTGGTCAACATGACAAAACCCTGTCTCTACTAAAAATACAAAAAAAAGCTGGGCGTGGTGGCACACACCTGTAATCCCAGCTATTCGGGAGGCTGAAACAAAAGAATTGCTTGAACCCAGAAGGCAAAGTTTGCAGTGAGCCGAGATCATGCCACTGCTCTCCGGCCTGGGTGACAGAGCGAGACTGTCTAAAAAAAAAAAAAAAAAATATATATATATATATATATATATATATATATATATATGATAGCCATTTGGGGGAAAAAAAAGCAAGGGATAACATTTGATCCATTGCTAACACTGTACACATGAATTAACTTCAAATAAATTCAAGATCTAAATGTAAAAAATAATACTGTATAAATACCAGAAGAAAGCATAAGATAATTCTTTTATAATCTGGGTTTAAGAAAAGCTTTCTGACTATGAAGTCCAGATCCAATAAAAGAAAAGATTAACAAATTTGACTGTATTTAAAACTTTAAAAACATTTTTAACTTTAAAAAATTTAAAGAAACAAAGTCACAAGACAAATGACAAACTAGGAGAAAATACTGACAGCCAAATTGCTTGAGAAAGATATTCAAGGTAGTTATTTAATGCTTAGGAAGTACCTTAATTTACTCTTGATCCTCATTTTATAGATAAGAAAACTAGAATGTTGGGGGCATACTTTTGTTTCTTAAATAGTGTTTTTTATTTATTTAACATTGAATGACATTTACTATTTTGCTAGTGTCTAATGACACTGATAATATAAAAAATTTCATTCATTCATTCATTCATTCAACAAATATCTACCCAGTGCCTATACTGCTGGTGGTCGAGATACATGAGACAGAAAAACGGACACAGCCCTAGCTGTCCTGGTTATACAGATACATTCTGATAGGGCCCAAACATACAGAACAAATATTTAATTTCCATTGTGATATGCTACAAAGTAGAGGCACATAATTGCATTCTTATGTAGAGACTGAGACAGTTTCTAATGTTAAGGAAATAAACATTAAATGAAAATTGAAGAATTTTAAAGAATCATTTATATAGAGAGTGAAATGATTATTTCTTACCATTTTCAGAGTTAGAAAACTGAGGTGCTCTAAATTCTCTCATTTGAGAATGTTTTTCCTTGTGATCTTTGTTTGCTAAAACAAAAGCACAGAAAAGTTGAACAAGAAGAAATTCAGCAAGAATATTTACTGTAATATTTTATCATTAGGTCAAGTGTTCAATTGACCAAATCAGAGTCTAAAACATACAAAAGGGAAACATAAAAATTTAAATAATCTTATATATAAAAATCACATTTGTGTGTATATATGTGTGTATGTGTATGTATGTATATATATATATACACATATATATATATATACATACACATATATATATATATATACACACACACATAAATATATCAGTATAACATCAGAGGTATTCAGGTGCTCTATTAAGTCTCTGTCCCTTTGAAATTTAAGTTTTCACATTCCAAAGTCCGTTCCTTCCTTGGTGGACCTATTCTTATTCTATGCTTTCTGATAGGCCATTTTATATTTGTTCCTCCTGATCTCCATGCCCTGATACTCTGACACAATGGATGTTTATTTTATATTGAATGAATATGGTCTACGATTTTATTAGTTTAATTGACAAAAGCATATAATTTATCACATACAGCATATTGTTTTGATATATGTAATACATTGTGAAATGGCTAAATTTAGCTAATCAACATTTGTATTACCTCACATACTATTTTTTGTGGTGAGAACACTACTGTCTTAACAATTTGTTGTTGTTTTTGAGACAGAGTCTTGCTCTGTCAGCCAGGCTGGAGTGCAGTGGCACAATCTCAGCTCAATGCAATCTCCACTTCTGGGGTTCAAGCGATTCTCCTGCCTCAGCCTCCTGAGTAGCTACCACACCCAGCTAATTTTTGTATCTTCAGTAGGTATGTGGTTTTGCCATGTTGGCCAGGGTGGTCTTGAACTCCTGATCTCAAATGATCCTCTCGCCTTTGCCTCCCAAAGTGCTGGGATTATAGGTGTGATCCACCATGCCCAGCCTCTCTCAACAATTTTCAAGAATATATTGTTATTAAATACAGTCACCACATTTTACAATAGATCGTTTGAACTTATTCCTCCTGTCTAGTTGAAATTTTGTATCCTTCAGACATCTCCCCAGTGCCCTCTCCACAACTACCTACCACTCACTCTATTCTCTGCTTCTATGAGTACAACTTTTTAGATTCCACATATAAGTTGGTATTTGTCTTTCTGTGTCTGGCTTATTTCACTTTGCATGATGTCCTCTGGGTTCATTCACTTAGTCACAAATGATAGGATTTCCTTCTTTTTGAAGGCTGAATAGTATTCCATTGTGTACACGTACCATAATTATCTTTATCTGTTCATCTATTGATGAACACTTACATTGATTCCATATATTAGCTATTGTGATTAAGGATATAGTCTACTTTTTTTTTTCTGAGAAAGGGTCTTGCTCTGTTGCCCAGGCTGGAGTGCAGTGGCATGATCACAGCTCACTATAGCTTCCACCTTTCAGGCTCAAGAGATCTTCCCACCTCAGTAACTAGGACTCCTCCCAAGTAGCTGGGACTATAGGGTGTGTCACCTTGCCTGAATAATTTTTTAAAATTTTTTGTAGAAACAAGGTCTCACTATGTTGCCCAGGCTAGTTTTGAACTTCTGGGCTTGGCCTCCCAAAGTGCCAGGATAACAGGTGTGGGCCACCATGCCTGATCAAGGATATAGTTTACTTTTAAAAATTTGTACATATTTGTGAGGCACGTGTTAAATTTGGTTACATGTATATAATGAGTAGTGGTCAAGTCAGGATATTTAGGGTGTTTGTCATCTGAGTATAATACATTTATGTTAAGTATAATAACTGTGGTCTGCTATCAAACATTGATATATTCCTTCCATTTAACTGTTTCTTCGTACCCTTTAACTCACCTCTCTTCATCCTCCTCAATCCCCCTACCACTCACCCTTTCCAGTCTCTGTTATCTATTTTTCTACTCTCTACCTGCATGTGATCAAAATGTTTAGCTCCCACATATAAGTGAGAATGTGTGATATTTTTCTTCTTGTGCCTGGCTTATTTCACTTAAGATAATGACCTCCATTTCCATCCATGTTGCTGCAAATAACAGGATTTCATTCTTTTTATGGCTGAACAGTATTCCATTGTGCATATATGGACCCTTAGGGTTGATTCCATATCCTCTCTATTGTGAATACAGATGGAATAATCATGGAAGTGCAGGTATCACTTTGATATATTAGTTTCTTTTCCTTTGGGTATATAACCATTAGAGGATTGCTGGATCAAATGATAATTCTATTTTTAATTTTCTGAGAAATCTCAATACTGTTTTTCATAGTGGCTGTATTTCATAGTGTTTTTCATAGTTTACATTCCTACCAACCGTGTGTAAGAGTTCTCTTTTCTCTGCATCCTCACTAGTATCTGTTATTGTTTGTCTTTTTAATAACAGCCATTCTGACTGGGATAAGCTGATATCTCATCGCAGATTTGATTTGCATTTCCCTGATGATGAGTGATGTTTAGCACTTTTTCATATACCTGTTGACCATTGTTATGTTTTCTTTTGAGAAATGTCTATTCATGTCCTTTGCCCACTTTTTTTTTTTTTTTTGAGACGGAGTGTCACTCTGTCGCCCTGGCTGGAGTGCAGTGGTGCAATCTCAGCTCACTGCAACTTCCGCCTCTCAGTTTCAAGCGATTCTCCTGCCTCAGCCTCCTGAGTAGCTGGGACTATAGGCGTGTATCACCATGGCCAGCTAATTTTTGTATTTTTAGTAGAGATGGGGTTTCACCATGTTGGTCAGGCTGGTCTCAAACTCCTGACCTCATGTACTGCCCACCTCAGCCTCCCAAAGTGCTGGGATTATAGGCATGAGCCACCGCGCCCAGCCTTGCCAACTTTTTAGTGTTTATTTTTCTTGAATTATTTGAATTCCTCCTATATTCCGGATATTAGTCCCTTGCTGGATTGATAGTTTTCAAATATTTTATCCCACTGAAGAGACTGTACCTGCACTTTCTTGATAATTTATTTTGCTGTTCAGAATCTTTTTATTTTAATTAAGTCCCTTTTATCTATTTTTGATTTTGTTCTCTGTGCTTTTGAGGTCTTAGTCATAAATTCTTTGTCTAGAAAAATATCCAGGAACATTTTCCCTAGGTTTTTCCCTCATATTTTAATAGTTTTGGGTCTTACATTTAGGTTCTTGATCCATTTTGAGTTGATTTTGTATATGGTAAGAGATAGGAGTTCAGGTTCATTCTTCTACATAGGGCTATTAAGGATATGGTCTACTTTTAATTCAAAGGCTGCTTTATTCTTTTAAAAACAGGGCATAAGCCGGGCGCGGTGGCTCAAGCCTGTAATCCCAGCACTTTGGGAGGCCGAGGCGGGTGGATCACGAGGTCAAGAGATCGAGACCATCCTGGTCAACATGGTGAAACCCTGTCTCCACTAAAAATACAAAAAATTAGCTGGGCATGGTGGCGCGTGCCTGTAATCCCAGCTACTCAGGAGGCTGAGGCAGGAGAATTGCCTGGACCCAGGAGGCGGAGGTTGCGGTGAGCCGAGATCGCGCCATTGCACTCCAGCCTGGGTAACAAGAGCGAAACTCCGTCTCAAAAAAAAAAAAAAAAAAACAGGGCATAACAATAAGCAGCATTTTCACATTTCTCACTTAAGCTAGAGCTTGAGTAGTAGTGATCTCAGAGGAAAAGAAAGATCATACACATGCCAAAAGATAGCACACTCTTTTGTGATCAAAAAACAGCACTGTCTTGTGTTTTTAAATGTTTTAAACATTTAGAGAGTCAAATATACAAACCAAATCCTCCAGAGGCAAAACTCTACTAAAAAATTACTTCCAAGTTTTAAGCCTATATATCAAGACAAACATAAAATAATTATGCCCTATTGCAACAATGGGAACCAGTTTTTGAGTCAGTTTTCTACATGATCCATTTTGTATACATTGGATACCATCTCTATGTCATTTGTTACTCAGCATAGACACACATAGAGACAAAAAAAGTACATGATTTTTACACTTTCTAACATATTCAACTATTATTAGGGCCATTTAAAAAAATGAAATGTAAATTTCTCTTACATACAAAGGTGAACAGTGTTGCTGTACAGAGAGCTTAAAGAATGTAATACATCTAAGGACAAGAAAGTAATAGCTCTATTACACTATTATTAAAATTCTGTGCTCAGTTTGGGATACTATAAAATAATACGAAAAAAGTAAAAAAAAAAAAGTAAAAACAGCCAAAGTAATTAAAAAGAAAACAAATTCAAAAGGAATATTTAGGTAAATCAGGGTTATTTAACCTTACAATAAGGAAGCTAAAGGATGAATTAGGTTTTAAGTTCAAATACATAATATAAAACAGTTAGAAATATACAGAAGATTTAAAAATTTTCAAACGGACTTTATCAGTAAAGATTTTAGTTGAACATAGGAGGAAAAAAAACAGAGGAGAAAATCTAGGAATGGAAAATATTCCAGAGGTGGCCAGAGAAAGAAGTGAGAAGAATAATCCTGGTTGTGGCGAAGGGAATAGAAATTGCTGATGCAGAGGCAGAGTCACAGCAAGGAAGGTTGTAGGCTGCAGAAATAGAGTTTGGGGAATGGAGAGATGTGTTAAAGGATCTTTAAGGAAATATTGTTGGATAAGATGAAGGGTAACCTCCCTCCTCTCTCTTCCCCAGAAATTTTCAATAATGATCTGCTTTACCTTACAGTGCTTTTGGTATAGATTCATGTAGTTTGGTTTCATTTTATTTTAATGCTACAGATGCATGACATTGGGATTAAGATAGGCAGATGAGTAAGAAAGGTCTAGCTCAAAGGCTTAGTTTTGTTCCATTTTGTGAAATACAATTTGAGTGAATATCTCAGAGCATAAATCTTTGAGGGCATTTCAAATTATTTCCTCAGTAGAGTTCTTAAAGTAAAATTACTCAAAGTCTGGAATGTTTACATTCTTCAGAAAATTTGTCCCAGTTTCCATTTCTACAAGTAGTGCCAGTGTTCTTTTGGTCTCGGGGACACTGAATATATTCAAA